CAAATGCTATCATTTTCATATTGAAAAGTCAATTTATGGGCTTAACTTCTCACCAAAAAGCACTTGACTTAGAAAACTAGGTCTTGAGTCTCATCACAACAAAAGAAATCTAAATTAAGTAACTCTTGAATGAATCAAAACTAATCTGATCCGTTAATTTGTAAATCTGTGCCATTTTTTTCAAGATCATGCACAAAGCAAATACCAAGATGGGATCTAAAGTTCCTTTGCCTTTTCAAACCAAAGGTGTTGAGTGTAACCCAATATACAAACTTTCTCTTCATACTGTTTTTGTTGACTTGAGAATGCACTTCAAATTTGTAAAAATCACACATCAAAAAGACACTTGATGATGTATCCACCCCAGAATAGAAAACCAACACAATGGAGGGTCAGTGTCAAGAAAGTGATCTAACTGCAAAAAAATGTGATTATTCAGGTAGAATTTGGAATGTACATAATTATATGAGCATATGATCAGCTGATGGTGTGACATTCAACCTATTAAAAAATAATAATTTTATCAAATTCAAGGACTTCATATGTTCTTTTACCAAAAGAGTGAAAGAGGACAGGTTGGCAAAATCATGACACTAACTTTGTTTATTTGGGAAAGTGTGTGGTTTAAACACTTCTAATTCCACCAAAATGAATAATGACATAATGTGCAGTATTGCTAATACAAACAAAAATACCATTGAATTTGAATAAGTTGGCTAAATATAGATATATGTTTGATTTGAACAAACATATCTTTCAAGTTATAACTGTAACAGTCTTTAACCAATCTCAATAAGGGTCAAGAATACAAGGTAATTTAACAAATCTACCTACAACACAGTCATCTTAATATAAGTGCACTCCAATCAATTATATTTTAATGTCTGTAACCCTTAATTTTAATAATATGCTCAAAAAAGTCATTCTAGACTGAAAGCAACTGAAAAAGATTTTCATGGGAAATTGTACAAGAATGACCAAAAAGGTTTTAAATTTTAACACAGAGTCAGTAATCTTAGACTGCGAGGTGGTTGACATTTTATCATTGACACAAACCATTTCAAATAGTTACAATTTCTTACCCTAACAGTATATAAATAACACAGATTCACCTAGATTCAGTATTGACGTGTAAACTAATGGGTTTATACAAGCCCTGATATTTGAGTGAAGGTAAAATCGTTTGAGCCAATTTCAGACAGGTTTTCATAGCATAAGAAAAGCAAAAACAATTGGCTCAAATGACCCTCAGATTCTTAAACAAACCTTCAATCTGTTCTGAGCATGTATTGTAGATTTCTATTCTGATCACAAATCAAAGGGATGCCATTTCCCTGCTGGCATTACAAGACAATAATAGAAGAATAACAAGTCAGGGAAATGGAACTAAAGACTTCAACAATGAGAAGAGAACTCTGATAATTGGTCTGTCCATCACCTGTCAATCAAATCTAAATTGATATCAGAACCAAATCAATGGAACACCTTTTTCAAGTATCTCTACTTCTCAATAATCCCCCTTTAATTAATTACAACCATCACGATTTATCATAGATAGTTTCTACAACATTAATTTGATGTTAGACTAACTGAACTTCTACCCTATCTTCATGAATCCTACAAAGTGTCTTAAGTCAATCCATGGTCTAAAATCATCAAGTTATCATGTTCTGATGTTTTGGCTTCATTAAACTTTAAAGGATTCTGATTATATCCATGTTATATCTAGTCTGAAATGTCCAAAGATATATTGGTAAGCATTATAAAATGATACTATTATGGTTTAAATTTAATTTTAAATTTTCACTGCTGCTTACACTGTGGAATTACAGAAGAACTAAATGTCAGTCTATAATTCATTCAGAAGGTGAAATAAAGTTGTATCAGCTGGGGAAAGAAATGTATAGATTATCATATCACTGTAATAATTGTCTTATTATAATTAATTTGTTATCAGTTTCAATCTATTCATTATATATATATCTATATCACTCTAACTCTGGTTTTTAGGATGTTCAGACAGTGACAGATCTATCTAAATTTTCTACTTCCAGCTCTTAAACAATTTTAAACTTCATTTTTATGAATTTATATGAAATGCTGATCTTATGACATCATTGGTAGTAACTTCCTGTGAGAATGTCAATAAGAGGTCTGGAATTAAGAGCTAAATTTTCCTGTTCTGTTTTACTTACATATTAGAAAACCCTATGTCTACTTTGATTTCTGAGAAGTTATACGGAAATAGAGACCAATCAGCTTGTACAGAAAATATTTACACTACTGTATCCTTCTACAAATTTTGTTTCCAGTTATATCAAAAAGAGTGCCAGTTGGACTGTCAACATATATTCAAATAGATTAAGATTGTATACAAAACAATATGATATTAGATATCTGGTACATCTACTTATAAACTAATTAATTGTATGACTTAATTCTAGGACCTTGTGTCCTAATACAAACTGACCAGCCAAGCTGTTTCCACAATGTACACATCAATTAAGTCATCAAATTGCAGATTATATGTCAAACATACTAACAATTGTATAGTTTGTATAGACATGACATGTATTTGAATATTTCATTGAGTGTTAATAAATTCATTGATAATAGATACATATTATATTTGATATGCAGAAGGTCTTGAGAGAGATACATCAAGCTGTTTCCAAGCTGATACACAGAACAAACACAATCATCAAAATTTCTAATACCATATCAACCATTTAAACAATTATTCTGAATGGCTTGTTCTACAACATATTAAAGTAATTTAAATAACGCATTGTCTTTTCCCTTAAACAGCCATCATGCATTTATATTCATATACAAAAATACTGGCTATTGGTATTTTTTAACATGTAAATTCAAGTTGTTACCAATATTTGGACTTTAATATTAATAAATGTCTTAAGTCCAAAGAGATATTGTCGTATTTAAGAAAAAACAAAGGCTTATGCTATTTTATTTCAACCATCTTGTTGATATGTTATGGCCTGACATTTTGCAACTTCATTCAGATATGACTAGAAAAAATTTAGCTGAGGGCTAAACCTTGAATCTTTTTTTATTGAAGGTGTTATTCAAACATTCTGACAAATATTTCTTACTCAATTTCACACCTGTGTTGTCACTTTCTGTCAAACATGTGGACATTACCTACATTGACAGGATTAAAGGTGTATTCATTGCTTATTTTGTAACATATCTATAATAATTGAGAGATGCTGACCTCAAAACCTTGTCAGGGGCCAGCATCCTCCTGACCTCACACCTCTTTATTGACCTTTTCTCAAATAAAATAGATTCAATGTAGACAAATCACACTAAGGTGCTAGCTTAAAGAGACTTCTACCTACACATTTTGTCAACATTTTGACATGGTAAACTGTGACTTAAGAAAAAATTTGGAGTTAATGCACACCTTTGGATTTTTTCTGAAATTTTGTTGTTATAAAAAGTTTGAGCAACTAACCAGTGTATTAAGTATAAATGACAGAATCAACAGATCAAACCACAGAGAAACTTAGATTCAGAAAATCTAGTGGAATAAGCTCTAGAATAAAAAATGATGCCTAGAAATTCGATATTCTCACAATAGTAGCTTGCATTAGTAAACCATCTCGCTGAACATTACACATAATAAGTGATGCCCAATTTTTCTATAAGTTAACAATAATTTTAAGAGGCACAAATTTGAATATAACACACAAAAAATGTTTCTATAAACTAACAATGATAAAGAGTACCACCTTATTGAATATAACACACAATAAGCTATCTCTAATGTTTCTGTTTTCTGACAGTAAGAGGTATCCCTTTAACCTATCCAATGAAAACTTGACAGTTGAAGATTGACAAAGTACCTCAATAAGATCTCTGAAACATGTTAAAGGCTATTTTTTCAGTTCAATTCTGTTTCTTGGTTAATTAGGTCTTGTATGTTCTCATTACTGAACTTATGTTTTTGAAAATGGAGAATGTCAGCTGCAGCCATTTTTTATTTATTTTGATAAATGTAACAATTGTTGCTATACATTTACTCTTTGGAATATTTGTATATAAATAGATTTTCTTGAAGTAAATGTAGGGTATTTATCAAAATTTTCAAAAGTGGGTTAAAAAATTGATCTTATACACAATAGATTGGAAATTGTTAAGTAAATTCTTTCAGAGTATACCAGGTTGACAAGCCCAACTACAGTGTGAACATGGCCTGTAATTTTAGATCATCTAATCTGTAACATGTGAAATTTTGAAAACTAATCTTGTAAATTCAGCCTTCATTCAAAGAAAATACTGGTTTCAACATACAAGATGTCACTGATAAAACAGGTCGAAAATATTTGAAAAACAATTTGCAGAAATATAAACCTTGAACTTCTACAATCATGAGTATATTGTCTTTAAACATTGTCTGTTATATCTCATACATCTTGGAATGTGTGTGCATGAGTAATATTTAACATGTGCATGTAGACAAAATACACTATGCACCATGTGTGGTTGTATATATATAATCAGAAAGTCAGTGGTGTGTGGGCTAAGCTTTGTTACAGAACGTTTAAATATTTTCATGTCTTGTTTTTTGTAAATTGTTAACATTGCTATTGTGTTGTAAATGTTATATCTACAATAAATATGTTGAATCTAGAATTTGAAGCTATGTTTGTTGTATTGATCTGACTGCACCAAGCAATTGATGTTAAATCTTAATTTTGTTGACGTTATAAGGATGAATTTTTTCCCAAAATGCATTTTAACTTTTGAAAACGTGACTTCATATTAAAAGGTGATTTGAGCCCTCAATCCCCTCCTGTTTGTGATTCTTTCAGATACATTATTTTAGGGTAATTGGACATTGGAATGTATTTATGACAGTTTTCCGATTCTAAAGAATATTGTCATGCAAGTGAGCATTGCGAGCCTTGTGCTTAATTCCTTAATGGAAATAGCAATACTTGATGACTGATGCCAAAGAAAGTGTAATTACTTACCTGTATCTTTATCATTAGCTATGACATCAATAACAGTAGTTCCAACCACAGCATTCTCTGCTACTTCCTCTTTGTATTCTGATTGGTCAAACTCAGGAGGATTGTCGTTAATGTCCTTGACACTCATAAAAACAGAGACAGTTGCTGAACGTGGTGGTATACTTCCATCTTTAGCAATTGCCATCAGACCGTACATTTGAATCTGAAATTTGAAGTAAACCAATGGTTAAAATGAACATCAATTTACAGGACAGAAAATCATAATTTTCTTGTTTCTTGAGGTAGGCAAGAAAAAATTATACAGCAAACCAGTTACACAGATGCATTAGTTAAAGGGTTCAAAACTAAACCCTTACAGAAGCCATGACTTGTACTTTTCAATTTACATTATCAAATGTTATTGTTCAACAAAGCTTAGAAACAAGCCACATCTAGACTATAGCCTTGTTTTGAAGGAACTGTATGTTTAATCATGAAAAATGCGACTATTGTTTTAAACTCTAAGATATTTGAGCATGCACATTTCATCATGTACTTTGTTTAGTTTCATCAAAAGGTCCCCATAAAAACAACCAACAAACTTTGATAGAGTCAGTTGATAAATATTTAATGAGCCTCATAAAGTCTTATCTACCACTTAAAATTGCAAAACATTGCCACAAAAACTTGAAACATTCATAAATTAATACTCTTGTGTCATATTAACGATATAAAGTTTTTGTCAGAGTCATAAATTTCAACTTTAATCTGTTTAAACAGAGTCTATGTTGAGTTATAAAGGTAATTTTGTTACAATAATGTCTTGAAATTGTGACAAAACTACAGTTAAATTATCTTTTTTTCACTGATTAATTGAATTTCATTGCTGGATATTCTTAACTTTCAATGTTTAAGTTATTTAATTTTCAATCTTTAGAGTATACTATTACTTCTCCTCTAACAACCAATATATTGTACAATCACGCTTGTTGGAATCAGAAAAGTCAGCATGGTTTGATGACATTGATAATTCAGCTATCAACATTTATTTTATTTATTGAATGACTAGTATTTATAGGTATAATATATTGCTTTTTGCTCAGATTTTTTTTAATAAATATGTCTATATTGGTAATTTCAAGTTATCACTTGAAAGTATGATGAATTTTTCAATGGAAGGGGTAAACAACTATCAATAATTAGCACATTTTAAAGATACTTCAAAATTGATTAGGTTTTAATAAGAATATGTAAAAAACTCTGAACACAAAACATTCTTATGAGACTGTGTTCTCATCACAACCGAACACAATCCATTTGCTTTCAAAATAGTTGAAGATGTCTGAAAACTTTGACTATAAAAGAAATGTAAAATAATTGAGACATCTATATTAATAGTTGATGGACACAGTGTCAACATATTCAAACAGGACATTATTACTAATTGTATCTCTAATATCTATCTATTATATCAATACTTATTCATTGGTATTATAATATACAACAATCTCATACTGCTGACATGTTTTGGATATAAAATCCTGATGGAAAAGATTTGAAAATGGGAAGTAACTTTCAATATTTAGACCTGTAGCTATGAATGTGGTAAGTGGACTCTGATTATCAAAGAGGCCTATCCTATGGTACCAACTCTTGATTCTTAGATGAGAAGTATGAATTGATCTGTTTGTACCTCATGATTTTGATTATTGTAGTAGTGGTTATGCAAACACCTGGTGGTTCGTGGATACCTTTACTCAAGATTTTTGATTGACAGAATTGTCTTGCTTGTTAAGATTTTCATTTTGATCTTTAGAGCAATTGTTTATACTATAAGTTAATTTTTAGATCACATTTTGAAAATAATTTAGTAAATCAGTTTATGACTAATACCACTTACAGTTTAAAACTCACATTGTGTTAACAATGGCAATTCGATCAAATTACAGTAGTAAATTACATAATTATAGAGATAATAGTCCTAACAAATATATCATGATATGTTTATGATAAGTAAAGAACACTTAAATGTCTGCTAAGAATTTAAAAATAAGAAGTGGGAATATAAAAATGTCTAAGTCTTAAGTTAATTATTGTATGATAATAAAAATTGCTATAAATAAATTATGGTCTAAACATTACAAAATAGGGAGTAAGATATGTTGTAAATTTTGAAATTTTAACTTGGGGTATTTTAGTTATCTTATTGTGCTTTAGTAAAAGCTGACCTGGAATAAATCATCTTGTCTCATTATTAGTATTAACAAAATGTATGTTTCCTTCTATTAGATTTTTTTTTCTAGAAGGATATGTTTTTTACCTTTAAAATTTGAATTCTAAGGATGTTACAAGAATTTTGAATCTTTACATATATTTTTTTCCATTTTATATGAGAGTTTTGCAAAAATGTATATTCTATGTACCAAAGAAACATCAGCCATAGGGCCTATTGATAATCAATAAGTTTTCAAATTTAGAAAGTTATACTGCACTAATTGAAACAAAGAATATTATAGATCAAAGAAAATCATGTGAGAAATTCTTGGATGTGTGTCATTGACTTGACATGACTTGACTAATGATCAAAAATTTGAAATATAATAAAATGGATACACTGAGAGGATGATCAAAGGCAATATATTGATCTATATTTGACATTTATGATTGATAAATCACATTGCACATGTATCAACACAAAGGTATAAATAAAATTCAAAACTATATTTGAAGTAGTTATGTAGATTTTATCAGTATGACCAAGTCTTTTCAAAATATGTTGCATAACAAATTTCAATAGAAGAATTTATAAGATGCAGATTTAGATTTTTTTTAACAAATTTTGCATCAAAAAGTTGTCAATGATGCACAAAGAAAGGATCAAATTATAACAAACATGCTTGTTTTAGTAGCATTACTTATAATTGTATGACAAACTAAAAAAATCCAATATCTTATTCAAAGCCTTACAATAGGATGTTACTGAATTTTTCATTGGACATATTAAAAGGAACAAGATCTCGGAGCATGATAAAACAGTAGATTTTTAAGTTCAAAAGAATTGCAATCCAAAATCAAGTCATCTGTGATAAGATAAGTGAGAATATAGAGAACACTTTCAATGATCAATAATTATTTATAGTTCCATGATTTTATCTTCATAGTTCATAACATTGGAGTGATATATGATGACATCATTCTCAATATGTTATTGAGGGCGGGACTATTTTCTTTCAAACTATAAAAGAACACCATCAATTAACCCAGTGGATGTCAAACATGAAAGGGGAACAACTTACCTCTTCAAAATCCAGACGATCAATCAATGTGAATGTTCCAAAGTTGGCATCAAGACGGAATTTATCTTTACCCCAATCAGATTGCAGCTCATAGGTTACGTGACCTTCTGGACCTTCATCTAAATCAGTAGCAGCAATATTTGCAATTGTGGTTCCAGTACTTGCATCCTCTGGAACCTCAAAAGAGTAATATGATTTCTCAAATACTGGTTTGTGATTTATGGCATGAACTTCAACTATTGCCTCACTGGTTTGAATACCATCATTAGCTTGAAGTTTAAATTTAAACACTGATTTGTTATGGTATTGTAGACTTTCATTGAGAAACAATGCACCTGAAAATGAAGAAATAAAAGAACTCAAGATATTGCAAGCATCAATTATGCCTAAATACAAAACATGATCCTAGTGAAGCAACTTAGTAAATAGTAAATTCCTCATGATATTTATAGTTATTACGGATTGGAACTGGTAAAAAAATAATAGTATTGTACACCAGCATCACCATGCTTCACTGCAGTCTGATGATAGCCAGACCAGAAAAAATCAAGACATACCTTGTGGTTCAACCCTGAACAATTTCCCATCGTCCATATCAAAATAATCAATAACAACATCACCAACAGTATCAGGATCATCAACGTTAACTTTAAAGAAGCTTGTCTCTCGGTCTTGGTCGACAGGAACATTGATGATATACCACTGACTGGAAAACCTTGGTGGAGTGTCATTCTGATCACCTAGTCTTACTTGAACCTGAAAACAAAACACATGGCCACTTTAAGTAAATTGTACAATGTGTTGTATAATGTCACTTAAAATATTTCATATTAACCAAATTTCAAAGATCATTAGAGATAAGATCAAGGTCAGTTCTGGACCAAATGTAGTGATATGCACTTGATTTTATAGTTATGAGTGTAACTAAGCTGTGTTTTGAAATTGATTGTGTATCCTATGATTATTTTATAAATTAAGGTTTCAAAATTATGGATTAAATTGTGATGCTGTGTTGTTAAAACAAATTGTCATTTATATTTGATATAAAATATAAATCTTAATGTTGAATGTATGTGAACTGCAGTAACCAATTCTTAATCTATATCAACTTGATTGGCTACATGTAAACAAAATGGCCACTGCAGTTGCAGAAAGACAACAAAATAGCAACAACCCACTGTAAAAACTACAGAAAGCCAAAATCAAGACACCCTTTATTGTCTTAATCTGAACTTTCAACAATCAATTTTGAACTGAACATCTACCCAGGTAAACATGTAGGGACGTCAAAATCCAACATGTAGAATTTACTCACAAACAAAATGGCTACCATGTACAAACAGGAGCAGAAGAGAGCTGTCAGTGTAAAAGATCTAGAGCCAAAAGACCAACAACAAACTATTTGATAATTATCCAGATTCTTTCTTTTGAACTTTTCAAGTTGTAATTCTAAATGTTTGGTTGAGTTACTTCTGGACTCCTCAAGTCAATCAGACATAAGGCTAATGTCCTAAGAAAATAGTACAAATTCTTTGTCATCCTTTTGAAATTTGGTAATTGAGAATGTTTCATGTAAACAAACAACTAACACAGTCACTGGCCTCAAATGGATACAAGTTTTTGTATTGAAAATGGCAACTTAAAATACTGTTATTATACAGTGCATTTGCCTTCCAAATTATAATTTGGAGCTGAAGAGTTCAAAACTGGAATTTCGGATCCTACAGTACAAATTAGAAATGCAATTTGACCAATCTTGGTTCCTGCATACATGAGCATTAGTCTTGATCTTAACCCCTCTATGATCCTATTTCTATTCACTCAACAGATTTATCAGTTAAATGACTCCAATGCAATAAGACTACCACATTCAATAAATATTAGTGAAAGAATGATAGGGAGTGTTGTAAATTACCAAGTAATTATCTGGGTACCTCTTCTACCAGAGTAACACAATCCGACCCCTGGAGACCAGACATATAAAATCTGAATATATCCTATCACTCTCTCAGTCCTTTATTACTCATTCGTTAGACCTATACAGATCACATGGAGTAAACTGACATACACCTATACATAGACATCGGACAAAATCAATGAGAGAATTTTGTGGAAGTTTTAGCTGTGTAAACAGTTCAAACTTTTTAGATATAATTTATAACGTTTGATAATTGAAAATACTTTTCATTGCCAAATAATTAAAGTACTTAGAATGATAACATCATAAAGCCAATTAAGAAAATAACTGGCTATCATTGAGATAGAATCACATACAAATTGGTAATCAATGAAGTCTGATTTTAAAAAGTGTTTTTAATGAAAGATGTAAGTGATCCTAATAGTTTAACCATTATCTACAGACTGGTTAATCAATCATTCTAAACGTAGACAAGATCTCTAAGTTTTATCTTTGGTCTGAAGCCAATTGGTTAAAATGTAATTTGCCTGATTAAAGGATTCAGAATTGAAGGATGTTATAGAATGATTAGGGATTTCAGAAAGGACCCACAAGTATAGCTGATATATTGTGACGAAGAGAAACCTTTTCAGTTTTACAGTTCAATGAAGCCTATGGGGCGAGCCATTAAAAATATTCAAGAAAAGTGTCCATACCACCTTCCAGAGTTACATACACAAAAACTGCCATAGGAGAAATGAACTCTTTAATGTAAAGAATATCTTCTATTGACAAAATGGCCAACAACCTTTTACCTTGCCATGCAAGAGCATCCAACCAATTTTAACTCTTGTTGGGGATCACCTTGCTGGCCAATAGACAACACCAAACACTTTCGACATAACATAATACAAAGATATTATCAAGCCTACCACAGTAAGTTTATATGAAATAGAAGATAGAATGAAAATATTATTCTGATGAGGTATATATGATAAGATTTATTAGAATGATAAGACAGATATCTTTATAGACAGAAAATAAACTATTTAAGATAAACTGATTATGTAGATAGAAACAGTCTTCAGGAATTGGTGTAAGGCATGAGGTAAACCCTAATCACCTTATATCTTGCTACTGATCTCGCAGTATTAGCTTTTTTTTTTTTTGACTATACAATAGTCATCCAGACAGATATATATAGTCGTCCAGTCTCTAGTGGGTATTCAATATTTAATCGAACTCTTATCATCACCACTTACAATAGAAACTACAAACTAAGTGCCCACTTCAAACTACTTTCATTATTGAAACAATATCCCTGGAAATTTACCACAAAATATTAAATTTATCATAAAACAGGCCATTCCTTAGTATTGGGTTTTTGTCAGCTGATCATCAGCCATTTAATGGTTCCAATTCATAGCATGTCAAGGCATCAAAGGCAATGAATACTGTCTGACTAACTTAAATGACCAAACCTGCTCTATTTGAATGTTGAACTAGAATAAGTGCAGAATTCTTTGGAATTCACCATACAGTAGCACATGATAGCATCATAAAGATATAAAGGAATTTCAAAACAGTTAACAACAAGCAGGAACAAAATTTCTTCAATTATAAAACCCTCAAAACATGTCTCGAAAATAGCCATAAATATCCCCTGGAGAATATAAATATTGCCAAAATGGCACTTCACATAATATTTCAGACATCTTATAGCACACTTCTATTGTCTCACAGGCGACAAAAATCTTGCTAATTTTCTCTGCCATTTTTTACTATGATAAATTGATATCATAAATTGTGATTAAGTGTTGGAAACAATGTTTGTTTTGTCTTGAATTGAAAAACCTGATTAGAGTAAAAACATTAAATACAAACAGACCTTGGTCAGAAAATGCAACCACATTTGACAGGTTTGCTACACCAAAAATATCCGGAGTGAGAAACTTGCAAATTTAACTCGATTACAAAATGTACTATACAGTTCAAATGGAATTTCAAGTTCAGAATATATTATTTTTTTGCACAAAATAGATATAACATGGTTTTATTGTTTTCTTAGCACAAACTTTTGAATATTACTATAATCTGCATTGCTGTTAAAAGCAGAGCAGCTTACTCTTTAACTTCTAAAATATTTGATGTTGTCTACTTCTTTCTTCTGGAATCTTGTTATATTCATTTTAGCTTTTATACAAATAACAATCCAAGTATTGTTTAAAAGGTTGTTGCTAAATTCCTCACATCTATGTCCAGTTTTTTACCATGGTTAGATATTTAAAAACATAGTGTCAAATTTACATATAAAGGCCAAGAGGCTTGGTTTTTAGTTGTAATGTACTAATCTTATTTAATTGTTTTAATGTATATTTTCACCTTCTAAGTAAAAGAGTTGATTTAATTTTCCTATGAGAATAGTTTCCATTGGTGATATTGATGATCCAACAAATTTCTGATAGAAAACTATGAAATGAAATAAAATTGATGTTATGTGTTCTACTTTTTCTTCACCCAATGCCTTATGCCATGGAGTGTGCAATGAGTGAAGTGCTATGAGAATTTTCTTTTTCAATTTCCAACTGTAGAGGGATCTATAACTATCTATATCTGTAGTACACAGGGTCTAAGATTATTATTCTATCTGAATGAGATATTCATTTGAAGATTCCAAGGAATGACTTGACTTCTTTAGACTAAAAGCCTTTACAGTTTTCACAGTCTATGAGTTACTTATGATTAGAAACTGTGACCACTCAAAAGATAATAGCTCTTATCTCAAACTTTTTGAATCGGAATTAGATTTGGTACCGTCTAGCGGATTTATTGCCAGTATGAGGGTTTATGAAGCTTTGTTTCATAAAATAACTCTTCAGACCTGTGTTATATCACATCAATAATTCTGATAATAAAGCTCTTCTGTAAGAGAGATAATATTAGACATAACTGGAAGAACAAAATTGAAAATATTAAAAGAGTAGACAAGTTTCTTTTGTCTTTTATTTCTGACTATGAATTAATGAGGATTGATTCCCACTTGAGTTTAGTGTCAATGTTCAGATCAGCAACTGCAGAATTTTATATAATAACAAAATTATCATATTACCACACTTATAACATTAAAATAAGAAGAGTTATTAACATCATCTTGTAGTATAATAAGACAATTTTCATCAGTTAGGAAGGTTTTATTTGTATTTTGACAATTTACAAGTAGTTCAGGTGGTTAGGTCAGTGTTCCTGAATAAATCACCATAAATCATTGTACTTTACAATTTACACTAAAAGCCCTTTTTGCTCCTTTCAATTTTTCACATTTTTTACCTGACATTTTCCATTTTTTATGTTTATTCTCTCAGTGAACCTATTCTAAACAAAGACACTGTCCTTCTAGAATTTAAAATTGAACAGCAATGTAAAAAAAACGCCAGAGTACTAGTAGCAGGTATATATAGACACAGCTTTATGGAACAACAATCACTGGTTAAAGTTTTATGCAAAGTTTCGACGTGTTTCCCCCGTCATGTGCCTGAGGACGACGGGGAAACACGTCAAAACATTGCATACAACTTTAACCAGTGATTGTTGTTCCATAAAGCTGTGTCTATATATCGTACTCACAATTGCTAAATGCCATTTAAAGACTTTAGTAGCAGGTATGTGAACATTTTTAAAGGTATGTCAAGTTGACAATTTAAGTCTGGCATCAATTCTAAAAGGGTGAGTTTGTCCTGGAAAACACCATAATCAATTGGTAAAGTTATATAATCTTTCCCTTAATTATGTTTCATGTTCTAAAGTGTTTAGAAGAGTGTCATATTATTTTTGTCAATGGAAGTTTAAAGAGCAAGATATT